AGGGGGGAAAAAAGAGTGATACTTGCTGACTAGAGTAAGGTGGAGGAAGAGTGCAAAGCTGATGCCCAACAGTTTCTCCCCAGACAGTATTTCAACAGGCTCTTCTTAAATATGTGTGTTGAATTAGATGCTTGCCCCTCAGACCAATACTTTAATACACACAGCCTCTTTCACTTAGCCTCTGAGCACAATTGGTTGCCTCTGGAGCTGGGCCCTAGGTTGGGTGAGCCCAAGCACAAAAGCCTTTTTAGAGCCATTTTTCAATATTGCTACAGTCTTGTAGGTCTCATGGACATGAGCCCAGTTGGTTTTCAAAGCTAGATGTTTGGGGGATTCACCTCTCAGGTACAGGTCTTAAAATCTGGGGTGCTCAATGTGGAGTTCAAAACCTTTGCTCCCCAGAGAGAAGCTCTGGGTTTTGAGTTCCTCTTGACTGTGGGTCACCATGCTGGGGGTGGGGTTATGGCAAGGTTGTGTCCCAGTCTCTCCTACCTATTTCTATGTGATTTTCTTCTTGCTTGCCCAATGTATAGTCATTGCTCAGCCAACCTTTAGGTTTTTGTCAAAAGAAATTGTTACATATGTAGCTATAGACTCAATGTGTCCATGGAGGGAGTGAGTTCATCCTACACAGCTATCTTGAACCAGAATCTGACCTCTCATCTTTCTAAAGCAAATAAGACTGGGGTTAAGCCAATGTCCCTATGGAGAGACCAGAGTTCCCCAGGGAGACCAGAGTTCTTATGCAAAGGTTAAAATTTAATAGAGAATTCAAAAAATTAAACTCCTTGGCTTTCTAAGTATCATTTCATAGGTGACTGTGCTCCACACAACCACTGGTGCCAAGATGAGGGAAAAGTAGATAATACCCTCTGATTTGGAGCCTAAGCCATCAACATGAAGACACTTGCGTAAGCTTCACTATGGGTGGGTCCCTTAGAGCTCCTATAAATCTCTATGACCACCATAAACAACGTATTATTGGTTTTGATATATTGTCTATGCACATCCCTGCTAGCCTTTACCCTTAAGCCCGAGTGGTAATTGCTACAGTTAGGGCCATTTTGTGGGACATATGGAAAACCATAAATCTATGTGACTCATAGGTTATAGCTAATGGCTTGGAAATTTGATCAGGCCACTAGCAAGCCTCATACTGGCAATAAAACAAGGGCCTTTGTGGGGCAGAGATATTTAAATAAAAATCAGTTCTATTCTTAATAAATTTTTTGTTACACATACAGATGCTCATTAGAAAGTCCTCTAACAATGATGAGGGAAAACATAATCAATGAGCAGACTGTGCTTGTCAGCTAAATGCTGAGACTAAAGTGTCTTCTTCCATAAAGCAGGTAGATTTGTGACAGATTGCCTCCTGGATCCACCAGAGGTGGCCCATAGAAACTCAGATAGAATCCTAAATTTGGTCTACACGCATGGACTGCCACTGCTATCAAAAAATGCTGAAATAGCACGGAAAATCTGGCACACCTGCCAAATCCAGGCCAAGGCTAAAAACACTGCCCAGGGACAGATTCTCCAATCCACAGGCTAGGACATTCTCAACAGTTTAATCACATAGAGCCTCTGGTCCCATCTGGAGGGGTTCACTGGATCCTGACTGATGCTGACACCTTCTCTAGGGTTTGGCCTAGCCAATTCTATGTATTTCACTGAGTTGGCCACATTATCCTAGACCTTCAAAACCACATTTGTTTCCTGTTCAGGCTTCCTGAACACACTGCATCTAATAATGGCTTCAGATTTGTGACCCAAACTATATATCAGTGTAGTGTCATCAGACTCAATCGTGGAGCATGTGAGACAACCTCCATGCTTCATATCACCCCAAGCCACAGAGATGATTGGATAATTAAAAGCTGGCTTAAGCAGTTGACAAGATGGAACGAAATATCCTAGCTTGGACTGCATATCTCAGGTGAATAGTCTAGGGTATCAACACAACAATTCCCAAAAATCCCTTATGCCATATGTTTGATCAGGCTGTCTGCCCCCTTCCTTCAATCACATCCCCTTCTTTTATAGTATTGACATAAAAGCTGGCCTAAGATCTGGAAAGCAGAAATGAAAAAGTAGCCATGTTTTACTCTTGGAAGGATGATGTAGGTCAGGCACCTTGTTATGGATCACACACTTTTCTGTGCATCTACTGATCCCCCTTGTTGATGA